CCGCAGCCGCCCCCTCCCCCTCCCCTCCCCGCCAACATCACTTGGAGCATCCAGCTTAATCCCAGCGGCAGCACCGGCCTGCCGCGTGCCACCGCCCGCGTCGGCCCCGCCGCCGCCCCGGCCGCGGCGGCCGGCAACGCGACCAGCGACGCCGGCGAATTCGCGATTCAAGTGCAGCAGCCCATCAGCGACAAGCTCCAGGCCTGGCGCGCGCAGCTGAGGAGCGAGCCCCTGCGGCTCAGTCCGCTGCGCGCCTACTCACTGGTGTTTGAGGCGCGCAGCGGCAGCGCCAACGCCAGCGTGCGGGTCGTCCTGCAGAGCGTCAAAGGGGACGCGCCCGTGGGGACAAGGGAAGTGCAGCTGGCGCGGGACTGGGCGCAGCGGTCGCTGATGCTGGTGCAGCCGCCGCCGGATGCTGGGCAGGACGCCGCGTTCTCTTTCCAGGCGCGCTGCCATGCATTTGGGGTGGAGGCACGCAATAGCTGAGCGACGAGCGTCTGCTGGTTTGATGCTTGACATCTTGGCAGCCACCTGACGCCGGCAACACCGCTGAGTACCACATGCATCAAATGAATCAAATGAGGGGGGAGGGAGGTGTGACGGGCTCCGGCACCAGGTGCAAGTCGGCTGGCAAGGCTCGAACGCCCCGAGCCACGCTCCCCCACTGACGGCGCTGCGCCGTCTCGCTGCCGCTCAAAACCCCCGCAGGTCCAGTGCGGCAGCCAGGAGGGGACCCACGAGTTCCGCAGCCTCCGCATCCTGGAGGAGCCCGTCGACAACGAAGCCGTGTCACCCGACGCCGTCGCCGCCCGCACCGCCGCGCACCGCGCCGCGCCGCTGCGGCTCGAGGTCGCCGGCCCCGGCGGCGGCCCCGCGGCGGTGGATGGGCTCAACCTGACGCTGCGGCGCCACCACTTTGTGTTTGGCACCGCGATCGAGCCTCAGGTTGTCAGGGAGCGCTATGGGGCCGAGGTTCACTCAAAGTACATCGACACGCTGGGCGCCAACTTTTGGAGGTCAGCGCTGGCGGGTGGGGGGCAGGCTGGGCGCGCATCAATCGCAGGGCGGCCCTGCATGGATGCGGCAGAGAAGAGTGAGGCGATTTGGTAGGATGGTTTGCTGCAAGGTGACACACCGACACGGCGGAGGTCTCCCACTTGCTGCGAGCACGTGTGCACTCATGCAGGCACTCCCACACGGACACAGGCGTGCCCACAGCCGCATGCTGACACACTCAAGCCATAACTCAATCCTGCCCCCCACCACCTCGCCAGCATAACCCCTGAGAATGCGTTCAAGTGGCACAACTATGAGCCGCAGCGCGGGCAGTACCAGGAGAGGGCGGCCCTCCTGCGCAGCGACTACTTTGCAGTGGCGGAGGCTCTCGGGTGCGGGCCGGCGCTGTGCTGTGCTGTGCTGTGCTCTTCTGTGCTGTTCTGTGCTGTTCTGTGCTGTGATGTGATGTGATGTGATGTGATGTGATGTGATGTGATGTGATGTGATATGATGTGCTGCCATGCACTGTGCTCAACTCAATTGATTTGGCATTTGCTGATTTGGGAATGTGCTTGGCTGGGCTCGCCAACCTATTCTCTTCTTGATGTCTGCCCTCTCTGCGCGCAGCATTGACTTTTTGAGGGGCCACACCCTGGAGTGGGGAGAGCCCTACAACGACTGGAAAAAGGGCAAGGCCTCATTGCCGTTCTGGCCATTTGCTGCCAACGACTGCAGCAAGTACTTCCAGGCACTGAAGGAGCACGTGGTGCGGGATGTGCGGCAGTTCAGGGGGAAATTCACCACGTACGACGTGCTGAACGAGGTGAGATTTTCTGGAGCACGCCCCGGGACGATACGTGGGTGTCATGCAGAGACCCGGGTGCTAGCTGGGGCGACGGTCATGCGCATGGAACTGGGGGAAGGGGGGCAGGGGGCCGGTTGGAACATTCAGGGATGGGGCGGCGTCTCGTGACTTGGACGTCGGGATTCAAAAGCGTGAAGGGCAGTGCGCTGCTTGTTTGGCTCATGTGTTGTGGTCGAAGCATGCGAGACACGGAAGTCTCGCTGCTCTGCCGCCCTGGCTGAGCGTTGATTGTGTTCCGTTCCCCCTTTTGAATCTCCCACCCAACTCCTGCCGCCTGCTCCAGGTCATTGAGATGCCCTCCATGCTGCGCGCCTGCGGGCTGGCCACCCCTGAGGTCATCTCCCAGATCTTCCAGTGGGCCCACGAGGCCGACCCAACCGCCATCCTGGTGCGGCACACACCATACCACACCAGCAACTCCACCCAGGCGCCGAAAACACAGTAGCCTTGCCTATAACGCAAGTTGCCTGGACGCGTGTTTGCTGATATTCAACCAGCCACTCACGGACCACCTTTTGGAGCCCTCACACCTCGTGGCTTGTCTTTACCACAGTGCCTGAACGAGTGGGCCGTCCTGGAGGGGAGCAACTGGCAGGGGCTGGTGGAGCTCGCGCGCGGCATGCTGGACGCGCGCGCACCGCTGCACTGCATCGGCGTGCAGGTGATGGGGCGTGCTCCATGACTCCGCACGCACTCCACCGAGCGGTCGCCTCAGCCTCAGCCGGGCTTGCTCTTTTGCTCGGTCGACCGTCTTGCTGCGCATGCTCCTTCAATCCTGTGTTCCATCCTTCATGCCGCACTGCAACACCCCTTGTGCACCTGCGCCGCTGCAGCCTTACGGCTCCCCAGCCCTGCCGCCAGCGCGCACCTTGCTCTGCAACCGACACCCGACTATCCACCCCTTCTGCACCCCGGGCAGGCCCACCTGACCCTCAACCGCTCAACGCCGGCGCTGATGTGGCGCCGCCTCAACGAGATCGCGTCCCTCGGACTGCCGGTCTACATCACTGAGCTCACCCTGTCCACCAAGTGGGACCCAGTCCAGGGACCGATCAGCGGGCTTTCCGAGGAAGAGCAGTCCGAGGCGCTGGGCCGGCTGGTCGCCTTGTTTTTCAGCCACCCGCGCGTCGCGGGCGTCACCCTGTGGGGGTTCTTTGACGGCCACGTGTGGGTGCGGAACAGCGGCATCTTCAGGGCGGACTTCTCGCCAAAGCCGGCGGCGGTCCAGCTGCGGCGATTCTGGTCGGAGACGCACAACACAACGGTCCGCGACGCCGCGGTCTCTCCGGCCGCCGGGCGGCCGCTGGGCGCGGCAGCGGCAAACGGTCAGGCCAGCGGCGGCGGCAGCTCGTTCGAGTGGACTGGGTACTTTGGGCGGTACAGCTACGAGCTCTCATCGGGCGGCAAGCGGTACAGCGGGACGTTTGACCTGCACCCCGGCGATGGCGGCCGAGCTGCACGGGTGGTGCTCGAGTGATCACATCCGCAGGACCTCACCACCCCGTTGCATTTGTGCGTGGCTTCAAAGAGTATGGCTCGGACGCTTGGCAACATGTGCTTGCAGGCTCCTGGAGCCTGGCTTGTCAGGGCCACGGTGTGCATGGCTTCCCTTCTGATACATGCATGACACCCAGGCAAGCGGCTGCCGATCACGCGAACCCAGCACATCATTCATTCTATATGCATGGGTGACGATAACCCCAGCCAGCCACAGCGTGCCCTGCCTCAGACTTCCAAAACCACTGCAAGCACTCCTCCACGTATTGCCTTAGCCTGCCCCGGCGAGGTGGAACCAATTCAAGTCAATACCTGCTGCAACGGCTCTGTACCGCCCCGTTCACTCCATCTGCTCGCCTGCCGCACCGCTGCATTGCGCAGTGCGGGCTGTGCGTTGAACCACAAGGCACCCTCAGTTGTGCATACTGGTATTCTTGCGTGCAGCACGCCTTTCTGGTGATCTGCAGCTGTCCCAAATTCGAAACTGCCAACTTCCACAAGCTGCACCTCGAACCCCTTCAGCATCTGCGAACCTGCAAACCTGAGCACCACCTGCAAACCTGTGCACGCGCATGCTGCGGCCTGGGCGGGCTCACGTCCCTCGGTAACGACACTGCGTCGATTCGACCTTTCCAAGGCTGACCTCATGATCAACTCATCCCGCTGGCTGCTGTTGTGTAACACCAGGTTACAAACACACCAGGCTTGTACAGCACATGTACTGCCTCATCCCGCGGCTTGACACCCCGTGCATGCAGGCAGGCAGGGGGGAGTGTGAGTGTTGGTTGGTGGATGAAGATGGGGTCCTTCAAGCCGGGGTCCAAAGTCCAGGCCTGGCCTGCGCCCTGTTTGGGCAAAATATTATGCAGGGGCAGGGGTGCGAAGCGAGCGTCGGTGTCGAGATATGCCGCAGCGGGTCAGTGAGGGAGGCGTCCCAAAATTGTGAGGGCAGAGGGGAAGGGGCGTGCAGGGGTGCGCGCCTGCCCAGCAGCCGTCGGCGACAGCTTCTATCGTAAAGACTGGTCAGGAGACCACATGATGTGCGTGAAGACGCAATTATGGCTCGAAAATAGCGCATGAAAGGCAGATCATGCAGGCTGGTTGAAAAAAATCGGCCCCCTCCGTCGGTGCTCTGGAGTCTTGTGCGGCACGCTGGATGCGGAAAAGGGCGCACAGGCGTCAGGTGCACCGATGCAGGCCGAGCGGTAACCATCGCCGCTGAGCGCGTGGCTCACGTGCCGGCAGAGGCCAGCCGTGCCGCACCAGGAGATGTGAATGCCGGGATGTGTGACGCCCCGGGGTGGGGTGTGCTCAGCCCTGGCATGCATGCAGCTGTCGCCAGAGACTTGCGAATGGCAAAATGTGTGTTTGTGTGCGCGCACACGCGTTGGGATGGGGAAGTGTCAGGCGGCAGCGGCCCGCGACCAACCCCCAAAAGGGCACCAAGGGCGACATACCCTAGGGCCAGGCGCACTCTCGGTGGCGACGGCGGTGAACAGTCCAGTCCGCACGTTCCTGGTGTGTAGCGGCCGGGGCAAAAAAGCGCTGGCTGCCTGTCGCCGCATCCGTCCTCGCCGCATGTTTCAACCCATGCAGCAGGTGCTGGAGTAGCTGATGGAATGCCCGTTTGAAGGCGCCTCGCCATGCAGTACCAAGACCCAGATCGAATCAGAACTCAGAGCAGATCCTATCAGATCACGGGCACGACGCGCTGTTGACCGCTACGATCACAGGCGCCTTCTCAGCCGTCAACAGCGGCGTCAGCCCAATCTTATCCGGCTGCGGCATGGCCCCCACCACCCCGGGC